ATGGACTTTGGAACCGGCTATGTCTTCATCGCTTCCACCTTGGAGTGATCAACGAATATCCTATCTTTTGAAACAACATTCCCAAGGAATACGATGCTTGAAGAGAATAATTGGCATTTTTCCATTTTAGCATAGAGTTTTTGTTCTCTCAGGACATTAAAGACCTGCTTCAAATGAGATATATGCTTTTCCTCGTTCCTACTGTAAACAAGAATATCGTCGAAATATACAACAACAAATTGACCAATATAGGAATGAACAACCTCGTTCATGAGTCTCATGAAGGTACTCGAAGCATTAGATAGTTCGAATGGCATAACCAACCACTTATAGAGAACTCCTTAGTTTTAAGGTTTATTTTCCACTCATCTCCTTCTCACATCTGGATCTGGTAATAGCCACTCCTCAAATCTATATTGGAAAACATAGTAGAGCCATATAACTCATCAAGCATATCATCAAGTCTAGGTATGGGGTACCTATACTTTATGGTGATGTTGTTGATGGCTCGACTATCAACACACATTCTGAATGAACCATCTTTCTTGGGCACAAGTAAAGCTGAAATGGAACATGGGCTCGTGCTTTCTTGGACATATCCTTTGTCGATAAGTTCATCGACTTGTCTTTGCAGCTCCTTTGTCTCTTCCGAGTTGTATCGATAAGCTGCTTTGCTCGATAGAGGAGCACCAGAAAGCAAATCGATGTGATGTTCAATACCTCTTATGGGAGGTAATCCAGGTGGCAATTTCTTCAGGAACACATCTGCAAATTCTTTGAATAAGGAATGCATTTTCGGATGCAGGGTTCTCTTTATCTCACTCTTTTTCTAAACCATATGCAAAGCAAATACATTCTTCAATTTACTAATGGCTCTCTCAACCCGTGTTTCACTCAAGAGAAGGTTTTCCTTACTTGTATTTCCCTCCCAAGTTGATATTTGTGGTTCATGACTAGATTCAAGGGTACAAGAGTAATGCATTTTTGTTTCGTGTTAAATGAGTATGTGTTTTTACGCCCATCATGAATAGCCTTCCTATCATATTGCAAAGGTCTACCCAATAACAAGTGGCATGCACCAATAGGAATAACATCACATAGAATCTGATCTTGATAATTCTTTCCGATTGAAAATGAAATCAAGGCTTACTTAGTTACCCTAAGATCGCTTCCCTTACTAAGCCATTGTATATAGTTCATGATGCTTAGACGTTGGTAGGTTTAGCTTGTCAATCAAAATTGTTGATGCGACATTGGTGTAGCTCCCGCCATCAATAATCATTGTACACACCTTCCCGTTTATAGTGCAACGAGTGTGGAATATGTTCTCCCTTTGTTTATTCTCCTTTGGAGAAATTTCAATGTGTAATGCTCTCCAGATCACCAATAACTTGCCATCATTAGCCTTTTCTTCAAACTCCTCTTATTCTTCATATTCAGAACCATTTTGATTAGATTCTTTCTCAGCCTCTCGAAGTTCCAAATCAATCTTCTCGATTTCTTGAAGAGTCATAACTCTTCGATTTGGACAATTAGCTTGCAAATGCCCATAACCATGGTGCTTAAAGCATTTCCTTGCATCACCATCAATTTTCTTGTGAAATTCTTTAGCAGTTTCCATAAACGTTTTTTTACCATTGTCTTTTATTGACATACTCTCGGCCTTGCTTGAGGAAGTGCCCTAAAAGTAGGATGTTCCTTTTGTAGAGGTTCTGGAAGAAAACCTCTTGCTGCCTTTTATTTGCTTTTTGACCTTTATTGACAACTTTCATACATCTTTGAAGGACCAATAAGGTTGAAGTTTAACAAAATCAGCAATTTCCCGATTCATTCCACCCAGGAATCGAGCGGTGGTTTGCTCTAAAACTTCTGGAACTTTGCACCTCATCTTGAGTTTTTCAAACTCTCTAATGTATTCTTCAATACTCATCCCTTGTTGTTTTAGGGAATTCAACTTAAGGAACAAGTATTGCTTATGGTTGTTGAGTAAGAACCTTTTTTTCATCAATTTCTTGAGTTTATCCCAAGACTTTATTCAACTTTTTCCTTCTCTGGTCTGTTAATGCTTTAAATTCTCCCACCATAGAGAAGCAAAATTAGTCAATTTTAGGACAGCAACCTTGCATGTCTTCTCGTCCGAGTATGACTTGAAGTCAAAAACTCGTTCTATTGCACGTAGCCAATCAACAAATCATCGGGATTGAGACTACCCTCAAATTCAAGCGCCTCTGCTTTTATTTCACGATCATTCTCCTTATGCCTCCCTCTTTTTCTTCGGACTTGATATTGTGAATCACTAGAATTTCCTCTAGTGGAATCGAATTCGTCACTAGAACTTCAACGAGAATCTGAATCGTCACGTTGATGTCGTTCATTAGGACATCTCACTAGTTGTCTTTGCCTCGCAGGATCTTCAAGAAGATTAAAGATCTCTCCATTTGTTGCTGGAGATTCTGTATCGCACGGTCTTGTCTTTTGTCATGTGCTTGTTCCAAAGTTAAACCTCTTAGAACTGGTTCATCCATGTTGAGTATGAGTTGGATAGAAGGAATCACTTAAATGAGTTCAACCTTAAACTATGATACCAATTTGATGAGTGCATGGGTGAGTGACTCCGGAAATAGGGTTTTATAGGTTATGTGTATGGATAGGTGTGTGTTTGGAATAGTTACCAAAAGGTAAAAAGGTAACCGAAGGATAGATTACGATTATTACCAAGGTATAAAGGACACACCACCAACTAAGGATGAAGATTGGGATCAACGAAATTCGCCACCAAGGCTTAAAAGACAAGCCATCACCAAGGTTAAAGGATTTCGAGATAGGAGAAACTCAAGGTATGTATGTTGAGCGGTAAAAAAGGTAACCAAATGATAGATTACAATTGTCACTAAGGTATAAAGGATGCGCCACCAACCGAGGATTGGGATCGACAAAGTTCACCATCAAGGCTTAAAGGATGAGCCACCCATCAAAGTTAAAGGACTCCGGGATAGGAGAAAGCTCGCCACCAAGGCCCAAAGGAAAATCACTGGCCGAGGATAAAGCGCTTCTTGGCTCACCACCGTGGAGTAATCCACTCTCCAAGGATGAGTTATCCACTCTCCAAGGATATTCGCTCACACAAAGAAAAATCTCATGTATTTTCATTCATCAAAGTCTCATTTTACAATGGAGGACTCTCCTCTATTTGTAGGGGGACTAAGACATAGGACATAAACAAATAGTAAAGACCTAGAAACTAGAAGCATTTAAAAACCTAGGAACTAAGGACTTTGACTCTTGAGACTTACACAAGGATTAAGACTCATAAAGACCTAGAAACTCATAAATGCATTAATAACACATAGGAACTATGAAGTGCAATAAAGACATGGAGATTTGAAATCTTGACTTTTTAGCCTTGCGGGTTATCTTCCAAAATTCATGCTCCAGCCTTAACTAAGAAATAATCACCTTAGAAAATCATTAACTATCATAGGAAATTGCTCAGAACATCCTCCCATTGATAAGTTGTTCATTAACTTTGAAATCGCAAGTATTTTGGTGTACCGATAACTTTAATCGATAACTCAGTTGGTAGTCTCCTCGTCAATGATCCACCGAAGCAAGTTAAGATTGAAATCTACTTTAACTTGAATGAACATCGATGGTGCAAAATTTGTCGATGGAGTTAAGTCGGATGCTTCCGCAGCAAAGTTAGACAACGAGCAAATGCTACTAGACATCCCTAGCATAAACCAAAACCCAAAACAACCACGCAAGACACGATTTTGTAATTTTCTTAGCTTTTATCTTCTTTGGCGACCTAATACCCTAAAAAACCTCTAACTTTAGCTTTTGTCTCAATTTTACCTTTTGTTTTATAAAAAACCTCCAACTTCAAGTCATGTCCCCATTCAACCATAAACTTTTTTTTCTCGTAAAAAACTCTCAACTTTAAATTATATCCCAATTCTACCTAACTTTTTTTTGTCCTATGAAAAATCCCAAACTTTTGGTTTTGTTGCAATTTTATCGTCCCGTCCCAATTTTGTACTAAAATTTTTACAATCTCATAAAAAAAACACGAACTTTTAATTGAGTCACAAATCTGCCCCCATTAACCCTCCGTCCAAAATTTCTCGTTGACAATTGAGAGATGGAAAACTCCAAAGCATGAGCTGTTCGAGCGTTCCGAGAACGAGCTCTCCAACCACAAGAGATGGAACATTCCCAAGCACGAAAAATTGAAGACTAAGCGCAAAATCACCATTTTGACGGAGGGTTGAGTGAATGTAGAATTGGAACTAAAGTAAAAGATGGCGATATTTTAATAGACAAAAAATAATTAGAGTGACATTGCGCAATATCACCATTTTAACGCTAAAATATTTCTATGAGACAAAAAAAAAGTTTAGGGTAGAATTGTACTAGGCCTAAAGTTGAGGGTTTTTTATGAGAAAAAAAAGTTTAAAGTAGAATTTGGACTAGATCTAAAGTTGGGGGTTTTTATCGGGACAAAAATTTTTTTTGAGTAGAATTGGAATATGACCTAACGTTAGAGATTTTTTATGAAACAAAAGATAATATTAGGACAAGAGTTAAAGTTGGAGGTTTTTTAGAGTATTAGGCCCTTCTTGGCTACTTGTGCTCTTTTATGGGGTCTCTGGTGTTTTGTCTCAAGTTCGCGTTCCATACTTGGGATGCGCCCGCGCCGTGGGATTGGGTCGTTCGTAGTCACATCGAATTCACTGTCTTACAATGTTTAACTCAAAAGGAAAATATAAAAAAAAAATGCACGTTGTTACACAGCAAGGCACTAATAAAATATACGTTGAACAAAAATATTGCCGCTTTGCTGATGACGACATTTGTCTGCTTCTCCTTATTCCATTGTTAGATTTGATTGATCGGGTCTATGACATAATTTTGATACGTCCAATGATCGATTATCCCAAAGACTCCCTCCCTCTTTGTCTCTCCCTCTCTCTTTCTCCATATACGTTGTGCCAAAGAGCAGACGATGAAAAACATGGACTCAAAAACGTTGGTGCAATCTATGAAGCTGCTACCCCTTCTTTGCCCGAGCTAAAAGAAATCTGCTGGAAGTGGCTTATATCGTCCCCGAATGCGTCTTCGCGCATTACAAGGTACTTTTTGGGTTACACTGGACCGTATTTGAATCGAGTTTGAGTCTATTTCATGTCAAAAATTTCTTTTCCCTGCTTCTTTTGTTCCTGTGGATCATACAGATGTCCACTGTCTTGTAAATTAGAGAGTGGTTCTAGATTATACCGGCCATTCCTATTGTGATGCTTCAGTTATGTTTGAGCTGGGCATATGCTAGTTTGTTGTTCATTCTAAGTTTCTCTATTGCAGAAACAAGGATCATTATTATAAAACCACATTCTCTCCATGCTTTCCTAGTCAGCTTTGCTATATACTCCGGCTAAACTAGAACTGGTAATGACCTCGAAAGTAAGCGGACAGCTGCCCATCACTCGCACCCCAATCACGGTAGAGACACTGTAGAACACGCGACCTTTTCCGAATTGTCCCGAAATTCTAGTAATTATGGTCCAAAATCCATTCTGTTAGATCAAACTGACCACATACCAGTGAGATGCACAGGGTCCTCAACAAAGAAGACAGTTTAAAATATTATCTGGACTGTGATTATACCAATGTCTCGGTGAAATAAGTCCTTACAATCTTCAACTGCACTTCATACGGAGAAGGCCACTTGTAGTGTTAGATCGTAGCATTCCATTGTTAAGTCTATTTATGGTCATTTTAAAGCTAATAATTCCTTTTCCTTGGTCCCTCATTTTAGTATGTTTCTGTCTTGCTCGTAGTGATCTCTCCGACACCTCATGTTCTACAAATGAAGAGCTCCTCTTCGGGTCTCCTGTTTTTCCTCGGGGGAGTGGTCGTGTTTCTTTTCTTGGTGATTGTCCTGCTGATCTTATGGAAAACAAAGATACCCAAGGAGCTGGGGAACTTGGTCGTGCGAAGTAGAAGACGAAAAGGTACTTCCAACAAGAAAACATTTTGCAGTTGTGCGGCATGTATTCTTTGAGAGGACCTTACATTTGTTAATGTGTCTTTTCATCTAGCCTCGAAAGACTTATTCAGTGGAAATCTTCGAACCATCAGCTATTTTGACTTCCACACCCTGAAGAAGGCAACTAAGAACTTCCATCCTGCAAACCTACTCGGAGCTGGCGGATTCGGTCCAGTCTACAGGGTATTAATGCTCACATTTTTCTTCTCGTTTTGTTTTTGTTTTGTTAACCTAAGCACGTGAACTCCCTTTGGTATCATATTCATCTGTGAGAGTTCCACTGAAGTCGCAAATTTTTCTAGAACAATGATATATGTCCAATGGGATGTTTATGTTTTTGTTCTTCGAACAATTTTTCTTAATTTGTACAATAGCCAAATAAGAAAGGGGAAAGGCAGATATTGAAGTCAAGACTTCTTTCGCTTAGGTAACGTTGAACTGTCACTAGGCCCATGCCTTATTCCTGCAATCATCCTCGACAAAAGAACAAATCTCTACCAAATCTAGAACTCTGCCAGAGAGAGAGCTCTATAAGTTCCGTGACCTTTTTGTCACTACAATCATATATTTCATGCAATATGTCGACAGGGAAAGTTACAAGATGGGACATTTGTTGCCGTGAAGAAGCTATCACTTGAGAAATCCCAGCAAGGAGAATCAGAATTTCTTGCCGAGGTTAGGATGATAACGAGTATCCAACACAAGAATCTAGTCCGCCTTCTTGGTTGTTGCTCAGATGGGCCACAACGACTCCTGGTATATGAGTACATGAAGAATAAGAGCTTGGACCTCATTGTTTATGGTACCTCTCTCTCTCTCTCTCTCTCTCTCTCTCTCTCTCTCTCTCTCTCTCTCTCTCTGTTGGCCTCTCTGATGACCCTTTTCATGTTCTCCACTGAAGATCCAACATTATAAGAGAGCACTTGTGTCTCAATTTTGGTTAGATTCAGTTTGCTAAATAACTAAACCAGAAAAAGTGAGAGTACGCAGAGGAATAACTGGCATTCTTTACAGACAATGTTTCTTGCATCTACATGGAAAAAGTCGCATTGTTAGAATAAAGTTATCATCAGAATGGAGATGCTGATTTTGGTATGACTACCATTTTTCACTTGCGATCTCCCATAAGCCTTACATGGAATAAATAGAAAAGAAGCCCAAAAAATCCAGCTTGCGACCATTGGAGTTAGGACACAGTTAAACAAATACATGTTCAGATTGGAAGAAACACTTCCGTTTTTCGCCACAACTCGAAATATAAGCCTTATAATTAACTGTGGTGGTAGAAGGTCAATAACTTGATCTAATTTCAAGAAATTAGTGTGCTTGTGAGGAAAATTTATCAGGTGACTAATAGCTATAAATTCTAAAATAGCTCATCTGTTCAACAGGGAAAAGTGACCAATACCTCAACTGGAATATAAGGTTTCAGATTATTGTTGGAATTGCACGAGGATTGCAGTACTTGCATGAAGATTCACACCTGAGAATTGTTCATAGAGATATCAAAGCAAGCAACATTCTTCTTGATGAGAAATTCCAACCTCGGATTGGCGATTTTGGGCTGGCAAGGTTCTTTCCTGAAGATCAAGCATACCTTAGCACTACATTTGCTGGAACATTGTGAGTACTACTATATAATAATCACTGTGACAACTTAACGCTCATATTACATTTTAATTGGAAAAGGGAAAACTTAGGAATGAGTTGATTGTTCAATTGTTTGTAAATGCTAGAAATCACATTGAAGGGATAGAAGGAGCACCTTTGTCATCATAATAGCCACATTCTTTCATTCATGCCTCTGTTTATCTAATTCTCATCTTAGATAATTAAGCTTATGACAACACGATTCGACGGAAAGAGGACAACTTAACTTCTGATTGGTTGAAGTAACCAATTAAGGGAGTTTATCATAATGATGTTGATCCTAACTGACGGTTATTTTCTCGTTGTCTTCAAGAGGATATACTGCACCTGAATATGCTATTAGAGGGGAGTTATCTGAAAAGGCCGACATTTACAGTTTTGGGGTTCTCGTGCTCGAGATCATCAGTTGCAGGAAAAATACCGATCTAACTTTACCATCAGAAATGCAGTACCTTCCTGAATATGTAGGCCCTTTTTATATTGTTACTCTCATGTTAATCCGATTTTCTTTTTGATTAGATAGCTGACTTTATTACTTCCTGATTGTGTACACGGATCAATTGTAATGACAGGCGTGGAAGCTATATGAGAGATCAAGGATAATCGAGCTGGTAGACCCAAGAATGCGAGAAGACGGATTCATAGAGAAGGATGTCTTGCAAGCGATTCACATCGCCTTCTTGTGTCTTCAACCTCATGCTAATCTAAGGCCTCCAATGTCGGAGATAGTGGCCATGTTAACATGCAAGGTCGAGATGGTCGAAAGACCCATGAGACCTGCTTTCTTGGATCGTAGGCCTAAGAAGGACAACCTTTCCTGGGATACCATCTCCGAGGCTTTCCCGTCTACGCTCCGAAGCGATTCACCTTCTTTGACTCGGCCAACTAAATAAAGCATTGTCCTTCTTCATTGTAGAAGGGAGACGGTGGGAGTTTCGCACAAGCAACAATTGGAGATTGACTAAGTAAAAACTAAAACGATTTGAGGAAAAGGTATAGCTGATGCGTTAGATTTTAGCTATATACGGCTTGTAAAAGCCCTGTTTTTTCTCCCTGGAGGCCGGCAAAAATTACAAATTCTTTGCTTTGTTAGTCGATGCACAAGTTCGTTGGAGGATATTGCAGATGTTCATATATACATTTGGTAAAAAAACCGACCTTCATTTTCATCGTTCAAGTAATGTCAATTGATCACAAACAGCCCGTATTAGAACATAAAATTGTCCAAATCACCCCTGGTGGATACAAAGCCTTTATGTTGTGCTTTAGAGATCCAGTCTGCGGCCCGGTTTGTTTCCCTTGGAGACAAGACATGGGTCAAAAGCGTAAAATGGGACATCAGTTCCTCCTGGCATCGTGCTAGGAAGTCTTTGACTAACCACGGTGGTTACTGCCTCAGTTAAGCACATGACTAGGGTAAGATAGTCGGAGTGTAAAGGAAGGGTGTTTGTAGAAGGCTTAGTGTCACGGAAGAGCCATTTGATTGAATCGCGGTCAGTCCGGGCGCTCGCGAAGACGAAGGTTCCATCCCTAACGCATCATCGCCACTTGAGACAAACAGGTGCACCGCCTCCACGATGAGTTGGCATCCCACGTGAACCTACTTACTCTCCGAAGCCTTGAAATACACTCTCAAGCCTTCTAAAAGCTTTCGGAGTGTTGTCGATATATTTGTATTAATGTCGGCAGTTGGTAGATGCAATAACTCTTGGTAGGAGGGAGATTGCAGTTAATTTCGGTTGGTTGGAAGAAGGCGTTAGTGCTATATGAAGGGGTTCACCTCACTCATTTGTAACACGAGATAAAATAATTTAGAATTTCTCTCTAGATTCTTGTGTCGATGGGAGTAAAGGCTGATTTGGGATTGTAATTTCTAAGGCTGCACGAGTAGGGCACGTGGCATGATTCATCGTTTAAGCGCGTCCTAATCCGAGTTTGAATCCTCCGTTATTGATTTCGATTCATCATTTCTTGGTGATAATTATATGTTATTACAACTTGTCTTTTTTCACGAAATTGATCATGATCGCTTTATCCGTGAGTCGTTTCGATGCAAATATCTAATAGAGGTAGCTAGTTAGACAAATTGACGGTGTTAATGAAAGGACTTGATTACACCAATCTGACAAGTTTAAGAACTTGATTGCACTTTTTGAAAGTTATATGATTCAATTACACTTTTGAAATAAGTTATAGCTAGGATTTCTAATGAACATATCCCCAAGAATTTTGTCCTAGAAGCTTCGTAACAAGGCATTGTAGTAGTTTTGTCTAATACTATTTTTCTTTTTCTTGTTTTTCCCTTGTCTGTATTTACTCTATAGTTGATCGTTTAATTTTATTATTTGAGCACTTATGCGTGATAATATAGATTTACATTTTTAAGAAAGAAAAATTGCAAAAGATTTCATGAAAATAATATTTTATTAAAAGAAAAAAGGTGCTAGTAATGAGCATTAATAAAACTAGTGCAACCAAACACGAAATCTCTAGTTCCAAGTGGTAAGGCGGGCTCCTGCATCTTACTTGACTCCTAATCGGTTTAGAATAGATTAGTGAGGACTCTTGTTTAATTTCAATAAATAACACCGAGAAACAAAGTTGCAGTCGGTAGAGCTTTGAAGAGGCCACACAAAACATAAGCGTCACCTTACAAGAAGATTATACATGCCAACCTCGAATCCATTAAACTCCCTCGGGCTTCATCTAGGGAGAGTCCCAACAGTTTGGAAACTTCACTGGGGACCAGTTTAAAACCTATAGAGGACTTAGTCGTGATATTCTCTTTTAATGAAACATTTTTGTGTGATGTTTCGATCATCGCACGGAACTCGAGGTACTTGCTAAATGGTCTTACCGACGACCCAACTCCGCTCGTATTATGGGAAGCAATTAACCCGTAAATTGGGAGCGTTAAGCCCAGACAAGATCCACTAGGTATGTGTTGAACCTCACAAAGGTCATACGCATGCCCGTGGTTTTATCACTTGACTTTTGTTCTGCCCTTTAATTTTTATTTAGCCGATATCTTAAAATTTTGCAAATGATACGCGTTTAATCAATCGAATTTTGCAAAATCATCCCCACTCCCTACAGCACACTCCCAAAATGGTGGGGCAAAGTAGATCAGGCTAACCGTGATTACGTCAAAAGCAAAATCGGAAAACTCGTATCCCATTGCTTGTTGAAGTCCATGTTGGTATAAGCAGGTAGTGGCTAATTTTTTGAGGGATAATTACCTAATTAGTCCTAAACTTATTGTACGAATAGCAATTCGATCTTAAACTTTTCAATTTTTCTATGCTTCAAGGTAAGGCAATCATCAGTTGAATGCCCCACTTCTCCCATGCGGTAATCCAATTTCTTAGATGGATCGTTGTTGGAGAATCGCTCAGAATTGGACTATTTCGGCTCGTTGGAAAGTAAGCCCTTCTTTTGGAGGATTGTCAAAACCTAGGATAGAGGACCACGGAGAGGAGTAAACTGTCTTCTATAACCTTGGCAACCAAAAGATTGGTGCATGCCTCCAGCTTGTTGCCTCCCAGCAATGTGGATGAGAGTACAATTGTGATTCGGCTGGGTATAAGTCACATTAACCTCAGCATTTGGTTCCTTTTCTTTCTTGACAGTGAAGCTTTTGTTATTCAAGGCTTGCTCAACGGCCCATCCGGCTCTCAGTGCTACCTCGATTCTTTCTATGAAAGGGATAAATTGATTGATTGACTCAGCAGTCTTTTTCGTGAATAGATCCATCAGCTCCCTTTCGTTGGTTAAGGGCTAATTTGAGTGGCCAAGGTCCTCCACCTCGTGACATACGCTTTGAAAGACTCACTCCTTTTCTTTTTGGCACGTATTGGGTCCTCACAGGATAGAGTTATGTCAATGTTGAATTTGGGCAAAAGAACACTACAAGTGCCATAACTTGTGTACGGCGTTCACTTTAGTGCCATAACTTTTTTTTGGATTACTTTAGTGCTAAATTTTTTGAAAAACGATCACTTAAGTACTAAAATTTTTGAAAAACGATCACTTAAGTGCCAACTCCGGTGCCGTACACAATTTTTCGCCGGAAATCTGACGTGGCATTTTTTTTATTAATTTCTGAAGCTGACGTGGCTCGCCGGAGTCTCGCCGGAGATTGGCATTTAAGTGATCGTTTTTCAAAAATTTTAACACTTAAATGATCGTTTTTCAAAAATTTTACCACTTAAGTGATTGTTTTTCAAAAATTTTAGCACTGAAGTGATCCAAAAAAAAGTTATGACACTTAAGTGATCGTTTTTCCTCCGACTTGGCACCAAAGTGATCCGAAAAAAAGTTATGGCACCAAAGTGAGCGCCGTACACAAGTTATGGCACTTATAGTATCCTTTTGCCGTTGAATTTGTACTGCTTGATTGGTTTGAAGAGAATCCCTCAACTTCGATAGTTTTTGGAGGGCAGTAAAGATCTGCTTGACGTTATTTTCCATATTAGCAACACGATTTGCACTTCACTCAATTCAGACATTTTTGCCTTAGAAAGCGTGCAAATGGGTGAACGTCGACAATCCGTAATCACCAAGTTCAAAGAAAAAGACAAGGTAAGTGCAAGGTTTCATTAAAATTGGTCAATGACAATGGTCGAATCGCTCATTTTATTTATTTGTGATATTGTTTTAACATGAATGAAACTCCTAAAAAAGAACTAGGTAAGTAAAGACTTCAAACTTTTTAAACATGAACTAAGAAAGTAAAGAAACTGATTATTGATTCGAGCCATTTTCAAATAGCTTGATCTATATACAATTGGGAGACGACTTTCCGACACAACCGCTTGTTTTCTCGAGCTAACCATGTAGTACGCTCTTGGGCTTGTTCTACTTTCCTCTTGAGGCGTTGGATCTCGACTCGATTAGTGGGCTTCACGATCACCTCGGTTATCACGGGACACAAATCAGCCGGAATGCGATGTCAGCGAATATAGTGAGTCGAGGAATAGTAAATCTTCTCTTTCTCCTCCAATTCATCCTCTCGCCAGACTAGCTTTTATGGACGGCATTCATTCCAAGCTAGATCGATGAGATGGATCTCATCCTTTTAGTCATGATCCTTGCAAATAAATATGAATTGGAATGAGCCGTTTGGAGCGGAGGTGGAACTTCTTGTAGAACTTAGTATTGATGGACCACTCGATAAGAAAAGTAAGTCGTCACACTGGTGATTCCCAGTAGTGGAATCGGACCATCCTTCCCAGTGAGAGGGACAAACTCATAACCATTTAGCATGCCACAAGAAATCTTTGGGACTTGGATTTCTTAGAAAAGCCATCCATTCGGAATAAGACTAATCCGGTGTCCTGTCTTTTAGAGTTTCAAACTTTTTGATTAGGTGATTAGAATGATTCATTTCATTTATACCCATGTGAATACCAAACCCAATTTCATTTATAAGACTTGGGTTCCTTTGAAGTATTGAAGGGCAAATTAGGCATGTTGGACTCCCCCTCTTGGCCGAAATTGATGGACCACCTTGCCCCTCTCCTCTTTGCCTATTTACTCTAGTTTGCCACTAGGTAGAGTGATTTTGGACCCTTAAATCTTGGCTTGTTCTTCAAGATTGAATTTTGACCATTGGTTCCTAGTGGGGTTGTTAGTGGGGTTTTGAGTGGGGTTTAGTAGACATCTCTCTCTCTCTCTCTCTCTCTCTCTCTCTCTCTCTCTCTCTTCATTTAATCAAGTCTTCCTCTCACTCCCCCCCTCTCTCCCCCACACTTCGGCCGAGCTCACCAACATCAGCCCTTGCCGACCGCCACTCCAGCAGCCATGGTCACCGCCGTTGAGCACCATCCGCTGCCATCCTCAGCCGCGGTCACTGCTCACCCGCCACCACCTCCTTTTCCCATCCTCCCATCCATCACCGTCACCACCATCATCACGCCACCACTAAAACCCTCGAAGCTGCTACCTTCCAGCCGACGCCGTTCGACTGCCGTGAGCGCTGCCACTCGTGGCCGTGACCACTACACCACCACCAACGCCATTCTCTTTCTCCCTCTCCCTTGCTTGTCCATGGCCAGCGATCATCACCCCCACACTATCGCCACCATCATC